ATCAAGAACCCCAAAACCCCAAAACCCCAAAACCCCAAAACCCCGTAGAGTCTCATTACTGCAAATTATTAGAGAAAAAATAAAATGAATGATGGGCTAATCAATTAATATTAGTAAATAATAAGTATTGATTAAAGGTATTATAAGATAAATCTAAATGAGTGGAAACCATCAGAATAATCAAGTATAGGCAGAGAGTAATAACTAGCACATTGATGTGCTTAAACAAACCTTAGCAGATACCCTATCACATGTATAGGAAATTGAGAAAAAATTGAGATAAAAATTAGATTAAGAAGGTATTTCGTAAGAAGCTAGGCAAATAATTCTTAATGACGTCAAGTAAAAGGCAGAGCTTTCAAAAACAATAATTAATGAATCTATCGAATAATAGCAAGACCTCATAAACAATTAATTAGATGCATTAGCTGAGAGAGTAAACGAGCTCAAAGTTTCAGGAATTGATTCTAATGGTAACCTCATTAACGGTGAATAATCATCAAGATAAGTATCAAACTATAGAAAAAAGCTATTCTCCCAAAAAATTTTCTTAGAGAGAGACTCATTGCTTACATTCACAAATGGAGGTGAAGGAGGATTTAGAACTCTTGAAAATATATTTATTGCTTTCTTAATCCTACTTGGAGTTCAAATATGCGTTGATGAATTCTTCGAAAATGGAAATTTCTTCCCTGATTTACAGCTATTCTATTGGGTGTTCGGCTAGTTTGATAAAGTTATCTAGACTCTATTAATTATGTATTCCATATCATTCTTAGTAGTACCTGTAATTCAAGAAGTAAAAAATAGATAGATTGGTGGATTTAAATATGCTCCAATTTATGTGACTGTCTATTTTATGATTCAGAGCTTAATCTTCACAATAGGGGTTTACAGCTGCTATTATTATGGATTACAACCAGCATCTGCATTAGTAGTAAGCTGTGAAATGGCACGTATTGGAATGAAAGTCCATTCTTATTATAGAGAAAAAATTGTAAATGGGCTTAATAGAGGTTCTTCAGTGGCCTTATATCTTCCAGTTTGGGCTGAAAAATAAGGAATTAAACTTGGTGATCTTGACATTCCAGATATTAGTGTAGGTACATAATAAGAAGAACTCCAAAGATATGCATTTTTCTTTTTTGCTCCAACTTTGATATTTAGAGACTCATATCCAAGAAATAGGAAAATCAGAATTAATGTACTTCTTAAGAATATATCTACTTTCATTATTTTGATTTTTTATCTTTGGTCTGTTTTCAAAGCACTATGCATTCCAATTTTCAAGCATACAGTTAACAATCCAGGAGGTGTAAGATAATTTGTTTCCAGTGTTATATTTTCAACTGTATCTGGAATAATTTGCTTGCTTAGTTTGTTTTATGGAATACTTCATAGTTGGCTAAATATATTCGGTGAAATCATGAGATTTGGTGATAGATAATTCTATGAAGATTGGTGGAATGTATAAGATTTTGCAGGATATTATCGTAAATGGAATATAGTAGTTCATGAATTCTTGTACTATTATATCTACTAAGATATTATAAGATTTACAAAAGGAAAATTCTCTAGATAATCAAGCAAGAATATGGTCTTTTTTATCTCAGCTATTCTCCATGAGATTATTGTTACTTGTGGTCTAGGATTTTTCTTCCCAATTCTATTTCTCATGTTTGGAGGTCCTGGTGTAATTTTTACCAAGATAAATTTTGGTAGAGGCCCATATGTTGGTACAATGTTCTGGTTCTTAATGCTCATTGGTAGTGGAATCCTTATGGTTCTTATCTGCAGAGAATTTTATGCTAGACAATCTCCAATGGCAGCAAAGCTTTAGGATGGCCTATGGGAATATATATATCCCCAATCACTTAGATTTATTTCTCAACAAACTCAAGCTTGATTTATCTTAATTTAATAACCTTAAATCTATTCTGACATAGAGGGGTTTTGGGGTTTTGGGGTTTTGGGG